TGACAGGCACCCCATGGGGCTGCCTACGTGGCAGTGGGAGCGAGTGCTCCCCACATCAGTATTTCCCTTGGGAGCTGGCATCTCCCACTCCGAGCCCTGGGAGATGACTCAGAGGTAGTCATCTTCCTTGTGCCTTCCTCCTCCTCTCTACCCCCACCTGGAGAAGCTATTTTGGAGCTGCACCACGCAGGGAGACACGCTGCCTGGCTGGTGCAGGTGGCCAGCCTGCCCCTTATGGGTGGTAGCTTTGACCAGAAGCGAAAGAAATATCTAAAAAGAAAAGCAGAGACTGTATTGTAGCTGCTCAACGGAAATGCAGAGTCAACAACAGGTTTGCTTCTTCCTTCCAGTTCTGGATCCTGCCCAGCATCCTCGGCAGCTCCATCCTGTACATCCTCTCTGATGACCAGTGGGAAACCATCTCAGCCTGGATCTATGGCTTTGGCTTGTCCAGCCTCTTCATTGTTTCCACCGTCTTCCACACCATCTCCTGGAAGAAGAGGCATCTCAGGTCTGATCGCTTGAGGCTTGGGAAATAGGAGAGGGTCCGGAGGCCCCTGGTGCTGCAGGCTCTGACCTGTCTGTCTGTCTGTCCTGCAGGACCGTGGAGCACTGCTTGCATATGTTTGACAGGATGGTGATCTACTTCTTCATTGCAGCATCGTACGCTCCCTGGTGAGTTGCCGGTGCATGGGGGCCATCTCTTGGCCCCACTGAAGGGGAGAAAATCAGCCCAACTCCAACAAACAGGGTTTCCCTCTCTGGCTTTGGCTCTGCTTGAAGCTGTACCCTACCCCTTTTCACAAAACTTTCCTATTCTATAGATTTCAACCCCTTTAAGTTGAAGTTACAGGTTGGGAGGACCCTTTGGTGGGATAGCCATGGGGGTGAAAGCAGCATTTCCCCTGGTACCTCACTGCCTGCAGCCCAGACTGGGATGCTGCCCTGGACCCCCCTCACCACAGACCTGGCTCTTGCAGGCTGAACTTGCGGGAGCTGGGTCCCTGGGCCTCCCACATGCGGTGGATCATCTGGATCATGGCGTCTATTGGGACCGTCTACGTTTTCTTCTTCCATGAGCGGTGAGTCCCTTTACCTGGTCCTGCATTGGTGGGTAGCACAGAGCCCAGCTCAGCTCTTCCAGCCCTTCTTAATGTCCCAATGGTAGCTGAGCTGCAGGGGAGAGGAAGAAGGATGGAGATAGAGAGACAGACAGATAAGTACAGGGTCCCTGGGCAGTCACCTGGCCAAGTGGCAGTTGAGGGCTTCCTGGACCATGTCCTTCCCCATCTTCACCTTGTTTTTAGGAGCTTTGGTGGCAGGGATGTGGGAGCAGGGACATGGGAGCAGGGACATGGGAGCAGGGACATAGGAGCAGGGATGTGCTGCTGTGAGTTGCTTCTTCCACGTGGTGGCACCAAATAGAAAGCAAAAGGCCCCAGATGTCTCCCCGAAGCCCGAGGTGCCTGGACCTGAGCTGGTGGCTCCCAAGCCAAGGTGGGGGTCCATCACTCCTGGTGCAGGATGCCAGCCCTGCCGTGGTGGTGTGGCTCATGCATGAGGATGTTGGACCTGCTGTGGTGGCACCACCACCCCTTTTCCTATAGCACAGCAGCGGACATTGCAAGTGTAAAACTTGATGCTTCCACCACACCTGCCTCCAAGCAGCTTCTCTGTCGGTCGCAGGTACAAGCTGGTGGAGCTGGTGTGCTACATCATCATGGGCTTCTTCCCCGCCTTGGTCATTCTCTCCATGGTAAGCCACCACCGGGAAGCACGCGGGCTCAGCGCGAGGGACAAGTCCAGTGGGTTGGTGAGGTCTAGGCTGTGTGATGGATAAAGTCTTCCCCAAATATGATGTGGCCCAGCTCGATTTTGCAAATGATTCGGGTGCCCAGCAGATACCACATACATCTCCAGCAGACCTCCTGCCCAAGCTCTGTTGTGTTGAAATCCTCCCAGCAAAGCTGGGCTGCTGGGTCCCCGCTGCCTTGCTGGAGGGGAGGGTGTAGCAGAAGGCAGAGCGAGGGTCCTGCCTGCACCCTACAGCTGGGGCCACACTTCTGGTCTTGATGGAGCGGTGGGGAAAGGGCAGGTGTGCCACGGCTGCCACTGAGCCCTGCCTCCCTGCTTGCTCCCAGCCCAACAGGGACGGCCTCCTGGAGCTGGTGGCTGGTGGACTCTCCTACTGCCTGGGCATGGTCTTCTTCAAAAGCGATGGCCGCATCCCCTTCGCCCATGCCATCTGGCACCTCTTTGTGGCCATTGGAGCTGGCATCCACTACTACGCCATTTGGAGGTATCTCTACCGGCCTGGCACGCTGGAGGCTAAAACATCCCGGTAGACGCCTTAAAGACATCATTTGCACCAACTGGCACGTGGGGGCATGGAGGGGAGCAGGGAGGCAGCCTGTGCCATGGGCTCGCCCCGAACCACCTGCTTGCCCCGCGCGCAGCAGCTGCCGGTGCCCTTTCTGCAGGGACAGGAGAGCCTGGAGGTTGATTTTAAACAGATTTTTCATTTTTAATGTTGGGAACTGTTTGTTTTTTTAGGCAAAGGTTTTGTAACACAGTGACCGACCGACAGGCTGTGGGAGATAGGGGAGTGACCGCTCGCCGAGGGCTCAGGGGGGCCTTGCTCACCTGCCTGGCCCTGAGCATCCCACAGGAGCGGGAACCTTGGCCCTGCACGCTCCTGGCTACTGACACCCTGGATTTGGCTACTGGAGCCCTTAGTGTGGGCCACCCAGAGGACTGCAGGAGTCAGGATGGGGGAGATACGCCCCTTTCCCCAGGGACACCTGGGTGTGTGGCTGCCCCAGCCCGGGAGGGGGGCATGTCGGCACCCTTGCACCACCTGGGCTCAGCTCCTAAATGGTCCTAAGTCATGTCAGCATTAACTGCCCCCTCCCAACTTCTTGATCGGAAGGTCAACAAAGTCAACAAAGCCTTACATGGGATTGAAACTTGAATCTCTTCCAGGGATCCCTGGAGTCCGGAAAAACCTTTCTCTAAGCCAGTATTAAGTGCACAAGTCACCCCCGCTAGACGGGCTCTCAGAGCCCCCCAGACATTTTCTCCCTGGGGTGCTTTGTTTTCCTCTCCTGCCCTGGTGCCAGCGGCAGCTGCGAAGTGTGGCCCGGCTCCCAGGCTCTGCCGTGTGCTTGCCTTCAGCGGGGAGCAGAAGGGGGATCCAGCTCCCTGCATCTACCTGGTTGGGGTCAGCCCATCCGCATCAGGGAATTTGCTTCCTCCTTGAGGGAGGGAAGCAAACCTTGAATTGCGATCACGGGGCTGCCTGCCTGCCTTCTCTGCTCCCATTTTTATGATGACCTTCTTGCTCAGTAACAGATTTAAACCAACTTTCAGGAGGAATTCCAGCATTCCTGGGAATGCCACAGGGAAGGGATGCATCTGCATGATGCTTGGAGGTGAGCTGTGATGGGGAGGTCCTAGTGATGCTCAGTTTTTAAACTCCTAACCATGGTACACAGTGGCAAGGATAGGATAACAGGACACAGAGGACCCGTCCAGCTGTCAGGAGCAGCCCCGATGCTGATGGAATAAGAAAACCACACCTGATCCTGCTTCCCAAACATGCCGGCAGAGCTGCTGGAGCCGGGAGGGTCTGGTGCGTGCTGGGATCTGGTGTGCTGGGATCTGGTGCATGTGGGCTCTGGTGTGTGCCGGGCTTTGTGCCAGGAGCCAGCCGGCAGAGCATCACTGCCTGCACCTTCCCTGGGAGCCCCTGAAGGCATCGATTTCCCATCATCTCTCTTTGGCCTCTTGATTAATTGCAACTGCAGCAGTCTCAGCGCGACGTGGCAAGCAAAGGAGATTTATGGCCACCATCCCACATCTCCTGTTTCTCTGGCAGTATGCGGAGGAGCCAAGCTCCTGGGTCTGTCCCACCTCTCACAGAGCTTAGGGTCCCCCCAGCCTGTGGTGCCCTGGGACTGGCTCTCCAGGGCTGTGCCATTTTGCAGCAAATTACCAAAGAGAAAGGGTCCAGATACTCTTCCCCTCCTGACATGGTGGCTGTGGTCACCAGGTCAGAAAAAAAAGCCAGTAGGTTTTCACTTCCATAGGCAGAAGGTTCCTATAAGGAGCCCCGGGTGCTGTGCCCGGCACCCCAGCCTGGCATGGGGCTGCTGGGGGAGGGTCTCTGTCCGGGGCACCCCAAAGCAGCCTTTGGTCTGGGACGCCTCTTGGGGTGACAAGTGGTCTTAGGGACAGGAGGTGAATGACCTGGTGTGAGCCCAGTCTCTGCTGCTGCCTGTCCCAGGCCCCCAGGACACAGCCCTTGCTCCATGACCTACCGCAGATGGAGGGGTGGAGAAGGACGAGCTGTGAGAAACCAGCAGTTGGCGGAGCATGTCTGGGGTTGGAATAGCGGGATATGGGGACCCAGAGTGGGAGCTGCCATTTTTTCTGTCTGGCAAGTCATTACCCTTCTCCGTGCCTCAGTTTCCCCATCTGTAAAATGGGGGTGAAGACACCAACCTACCTCACAGGGCTCATGTGAGGACCCATGAAGCACTTGGAGGATGACCAGTGCTTTACAAACACACGCTTCAGTTTTCATTGAGTCTGGGGGACCAGATTCGCAGAGCCACCGCAGGGCATGGTGACAACTGCGGCTCGGCGTGCCCAGATCTCCTCCCCCTCCGTCACTAAATCCACGGGGGAACCACCCTGGGGACAGACCATGCACATAGTGGTCCCTGCTCCCAGGCAGACGTCCCGTGGCAGGGGCTGAGGATGCCCAGGGACCACCATTGCGTTTTGTCCGTAGGCTTCATCCCAAGGGATTTATCTTGGAAGCCATTTCACCACTGGGGTCTTTTGGCCCTAAATCCATCCCCGGGGCTCCCAAGGCACAGGGAGGTGCCAGGAGGACCTTTCCGAGGCCACTTCATCAGCCTCCTGCAGAAAACCCAGGGCAGGGCAGACACCCAAGCGGGAATGGGTGGCCGGGCTCTGTCGGGGACATGCCACCCTGCCTCGAGCCCAGACTTGCTGAGTGGGCTTCTCCATAATTAAGAAGTCCCCCCTCTTCTCTTGCTTCCTAAGTCCTTCCCTTGCAAAGCAGGGTGGGAGGCACAGAGCAGGTTATCCAATTGTCCTCCTATTTTATACAACTCGTAACATTCAGGATGTCTGTGGAGGAGGGTTCAAAGGATCTTTTTAGCATCTCATGTTTTTCACTGTCTGTTCTTGTTCAATCAGTATTTTATATTTAACACAGTATTGGGTCAAATTAAAAACAAATGTAAGGAAGATAACGCTAGTGAATATTGTTTCCTGTGGAGTAGGATCGAAATAAAAACTCAAGATACCTCACTAATGCCTGCTTAGTAAATCAAAATGAGTTTCCCTGCAGTATCTGGAAATAAACCCATTTTCTATCTGACTTGCCCCACGTGGCATCACTCTCTGCTGAGGAGAGGAGCCACTCAACCAGCTGCAGCAAGGCCCCGCTCATGGCGATGGAGTGCTGAGCACCAACTCACCTCAGTGCATGGATGGCATTGCCATCTGCTGGCTCAGCTTGCTGGGCCAGGGGCCAGCGGCACTTCGCCCTTTGCACCAGCTGCATGGAGAAATTCAGGAGGCTGGGGATGAGTTGAGCTCCAAGTCGCAGAATTTCCTTAAAAAAAAAAGAAAAGTTGGTGGGTTTGCTGATGGTGGCCCTGCGCTCCGCAGCGCCGGCTGAAGGGCTTGCCAGCATCTCACCAAGGTGGTTTCAGCGTAACCACTCTGCACGCCCGCTCTGGCCCTGTCATTTCCCCTCCTGTGGTGGCCGAGTCTGTGGTTGATACGTGCTGTGCCCCGGGCTGCCACCACAGGGGAGGAAGGATGCCAGATCTGGGGAGGAGGAAAGTCTGTGGCAGACCGGGCAGAGGGTAAGCACTGCTTGCTGTGCACCCCAGGGGGGAAACCCCACCACCATCACCCACCAGCTCCCACCAGCCTCTCCCATGGCCACTGCCTCCTCTTGGAGAGGAAGAGTTTGCCCCCATCCAGGGAGCCTGCTGGCTGGTGCTGCCTGCCCCAGGCTCTGCACAGCCACTGGCTGCCCTCCCGCTCGCACCTCTCCATCGTAATTATGCCAGGCTGGATCCCCCACAGGCTGCGACACTCGGCAGCTTTCCCGGAGAGCCAGGGAGGGTTCCCTGCTTCCAGGGGCAGCTGAACTCACCCTGAAACCTGACCCACAACTTCTACCTCACCCATAATTTCTTTGCTGCTGGTGATCGGGCTGGACTGGGAGGCCTCCTGGCCTCGCTTTGCTTTTATGCTGTCATTCCCAGAGGGCGTCTGGTGGCAGACCCACTCTCCCCCCCAAAGTGTAACCCCTGCACCACTGGGCAGAAAACCACACATTTAACCAAAAGGAGAATTTTTAACCGAGGGAGGCAGAGCATCAGTGACCACCTCGTCTCGAACAACCCGGTGCAGTCATGATCCATCCCTTCCCGATTTCAACCACCAGCCTGTGTGGAGCCACAGCAGTCTCCAGGTCGACTTTGAAGCTTGTTTGATAAAACCTGTTTAGCCAAAGGCAGCAGCTGCCCGCGCAGGCAAGGCCCGCGCAGCCCTGCCTGTCTCGCTCCCTGGCATTTTAACCGGGCACCGTGCCCCGGCACCCGCGGG